GGCCGATTCTATCTACATCTATATACAACTGATAAAAATACACATTCTATACTTCATGTATTTTTTATAGATCAATCATCTGATATGGGAAAACTAAATTGATTGGGTTGTTTCTTCTAACACGGTGACATCATCTTTGGTTTTAAATATTCGATGACAGGATACAGAAACTAGTCTGATATTTGATTCACAAGCAAAAACAACTCACCAACAAACTCATTACCATACATGTATGACAACACCCTATTGATTGTGTTAATTGCTTAAAACTTATACAAATAAAACCTTGGGTGTTATGTGGAGTTAATCTCCTTGAGATATATCAGGAAAAACAACTCCAACATTTAGTTGATAAATATACAATAGTAATGATTCTATATTTAGTATTCGACTGTTGAATATGAATATATACTCTTCAAAAAAAAGTAGGGGATATTAAAATGCAAATACCTATGCAGGTTGTGATATGATAAATAGTCATGGACACTTGACATGCTTTGAGAGTATGTTCACAGATGAAGAACTTGTCGCCCCAACAGAACCACTGAGCTGCACGTTTGTTAATCCCTTGCAAACTACAATGTTGTGAAAGTTAAATCTCTAAAAGTAGGGTAATATCAATCCAAAAATGGTTCAATTATGATAATTGAAAATGTGTCAACATTTGACATCCACTGCAGATGACATATTGGATATAAACATGTATATATAGTCAACACAAGCCAGCACCACCTTTGATTTTTACTGAAATTGATTTTTAATCTGAATCTTAAGCCGTGAGATTAAATATTGTCCAAAAAATGCAATTGGCAATCAGTGTAGAATACAGTATTTATTTACAAGTTATTTAATATTTTCATTCGATCATGCCAGGAATCACCATGGTTTAAAACAATGACTACATTCATTATTTTTATCAGGTCTTTAGAAACTGGTACGATTTAAATATGTTATTGGTGTACTCTGTATATAGGTACAGGGGCCGGGCGACAAGTTTGTCATAACTGGATGAAAAAGTAAAATAAATAATTTGCCAAAAATCTTGATAAATAACTATGTTTTATGCAGCAGTGTACCATAGTCCTGGCACGATATATCGTTGAATTGATGTATCGAGATTCGCCTTTTCACAATTCGCGTATTGATCAATAGATATATCGCGATTTTTTTTTATGTTTTTTTGTCGCTTCAGTAAATACCTGTCCCTCTTAATTATCCACATCACACATTATCCATAGGTACTGTGGGTACACAAACACAGGTAAATTGATTTGGTCCTTTTTTTGATCCACATCAATAGCGTGATTTGAGACAGTTTTAGTTCTTTGACATCTGCAATACTAAAAATATCAATTGTTCATTTATCCTGTTGTTTCCTTGGTAAATATTGACCTGGTTATCGTATCATATCGTAGCAGCTGAATTGCAATACATATCGTATTGTGACTGCCTTGGACATACCAAGCACTAGTGTACCAACCTTCAATAAAATTCCTCAATGTTTGACCTAAAATAATTCTAGAAAACAGAATTTTCATTGATTTTAAAGATGCCATCATGCAAAAGCTAAATCTGCCTTTTCAGCTACAGGACTTTCTGGGGGCTTCAAATAATGTAATATGAATAGAAACACAATTTAAAGTAGCTATGTCTCTAACTCAATACCATCCAAAGTCTTTGACATTGAAAACACAAATTATTTGTCAATTTAAATCAACATTGATGTGATCTTACTGGGAAAAGATGGGCTTCTGATATCTAATATTTAAGACAAAAGTCACATTTTACCATTGGTACATGAATCGTGTACCATAATGCTTTTCAGTGCCATTTGTAACAAGGGACTTGAAGAACGAGGCTAGACATATTCCACAAGTCACGTCGAACGGTGATGCCATATTCTTATCTGGAGAGCATGCACGCAATAAATACCTTCGGTGTAGACTTGAATAACCAGACGCTAGAGATGGCCATTCGATTGAGATTCCTGGTGTATTTCGCCGAACATAATTTAACTGATTAGAAACTGCAGTAAAAACAGAAACAAATGAATGTAAATCAGTTTATGTACATTCATATTACATAATTGTATGCGTTGCAACCCATTTGTGTCAATTTCTAGTTCCCAAATATTAGCGATTTAGCTTCTTTAAACCAAGTAACCTTGCATCTATATTTACATTCAATAAAGACAGTGCTGGTTTTATTTAGCAGATGAAATTTGGATGTTATTTGCAGTGCGATAACATTAATATCTGACATCTTTTTTTACAAAAAAAATGTAGTTGGCCGTCAGACTCAAGATTTCTTTGATGCTAATTTTGTACACTGGTATGGGATTTGATTCTCTATTTTCTTTCCCCAGCAGATTCTAGTAAAAAGTGGAATTAGATCATGAAACAGATTGTACCATCCTTATTATACGCTCACATTTTCATGTGGAAGTACATGTATATTGTGCCGTTGCTTCTGTCCATTCATATTTGTGGTCAGAATTTTTTTCGGATTTTGATGAAACTACGAATATGCTTATATCCCAAAGATCTTGGATTTTAGCATGTATGGTTCGACAACTACTTGTATTATATTATTATATGCAGAAGAGATGATTAAACATACATTATGCAAATCTGTCCATTTGCAGGTCTTTCTTTAGTCCTGAAATGTTATCTAAATTATTAATTAGACATTAATTAACCTATCCAGACTATAATCAACTCTCGATGGCATCGCTAGCCTGCGATCTTTTGTGGATTATGAGCCAATTTACTGCATAACTTTCCTTCAAGATTTAACGATTAAATGGATAATCGAGACTATGCTGTTTATGATACTGACTTTAGTAATGATGATCGAGGCTAGGCGGAAATTTCAATCGCTTAGTTCTCGGTTCATAGTGGATCAATTTGAATGAAATTTTCAGCAAATTGCCTTTAAAATTGTTTTTAACTATTATAGTGAGAACTGCCAACTCGTTGTCGAATCTCCTATAATGTATCTTTAATATTTAAAAGTATGTGTGAATAACATTTGTTCTTTTATATTTGCCCCCCATTTAAATGTCAATTTGTTGAAACTGAATAAGTAAAGCTTTGTAATATACAAGTCTGTAATACTGTGAATCAGTAGATAAAGACTGGTTTATTTTATTAGAGATAATCTGTAGGTAAACATAGATAGATAAGGTTCTGAGGGATTATACTAAATATTTACTACATTCTTGACCTTAGGTTTATCAGATAATACATGGGGTTTATACTTTATCTTTAATAATCAACAAATGAATGATATTATTGATATGATATACATGCATAATAACAATCTATTAAATATTCATATTCTCATGATATAGATAGGTATTTTAAAATAAGAAATAAATATACCTACAATGAATGCATATTTTTTGATCAGAACATATTCTGACTTTGTGATTTTTGTGTCAAAATTTTTGATGTTTATTAAGAAATCTGTCTTCATTAGCCCAGTTCGGAGCAAAACAGTAGGACGTTAAACCCCATTTCATTTTATTAAGAAATGAAAGGAAATGGGGTTTAATGTCTTAGTTTTCTGGTTACTAATTACTCCTGGTTGCTAACATAAACCACATTCTCTTCACAAGCTTTTCACAAGCTTTAAACTTAGTAAGTTTCACTACTCAGACCTTTCTGTAAACACTTTCCCTCAACTTAAATCTCTGAATTTCATTTGAGGGATTGATAATCCCTTGCAAACTGTAATACCATGAAAATTGAATCTCTAAACTGAATATTGTTCCAAAAGTGGTTAAATTCAATTCAATATTTATAATGAATTGAATATTTGTCAACATTCAGCATCCATTGCAAACATTATTTTAGGATATAAACTGTAGTTTCTTTTTAATCCGATTGAATCCAAGCCAGAAATTATCTATGATTGGTCAATAAAAGTAGCACAGTCATCAAGGGTAGATAATTTGAATACGTATCTCCCCCATGGATGAACCCAGGGGTAAGTGGAGTGGAATGAAATGAGACCACTGTGGATACCGAGGATGGGTATGAAAAATATTTTGCCTGGACAGTGGTGTTTCTGCCTACTATTCTTTTATGTGCCATGGATTGTTTTATGTGCACACAACCATCAGACAATGTCCTTGCCAGGATTTCTTTCCTGTACCACTGACAAGGAGAATCCATGCTGAAAAGTCCAAAGGAACTTCCCTGTCCAACACCATAATTGAACTCTTGTGGGTGAGCCAGTGCCTTTTTCACCCACAGTGGCCCTCTACACATTCTCGACTCAACTCGACTACACACCTTGATCGAATGATCTCCTCATAATTCCTTATGACAAGGTCTACTAATCAGTTATTTACATCAAGCCACATGTAAATCATTATGGATAACTTGTACAGCAAATTCTATGCAATTAATTTTTGGATTTAAGCCCAGTTGACATTAATTAGTATATCATTATCCTGCGATAATTAACAGGAGACTAGATGTGTTCTATTGATCTAAGAAAAGAGAATTTTGATTGAAATTTAATGTCAGACACTGTCTATAAATACTGTAGGTGAATAATCACACTCTATGTACCATTTGTACACTATAGCGCAATCATACATTTTTTATACCAAATTGACTGTGAGAAAGTTTTAAAATAGAATAAAAATGTTTGATGATTGTTGATATCGTTAAATACTGTACTTACTTTATTTAAACATTGATAGTATAATAATACTGTCCAGTAGAACTCATTCATGATATAATTTAACTTGTGTAATTTGTGAGTCATTATAGATATTTTGACTGTATTTTGTGAAAGTGTAATTGTGTGCGTGAAGAGTGTGTTTTAAAAATTAGTGCATGCAATGAGTATGTTGACATTTTCTTACTTAACGAGAGGAAATAAGCATAATGACCTGTTTCATGCCTTTACATCAAATGTCTTGTCTCACCAAGACACACACTCAATATTTCGTCCTCTTTAAAACATGTCTTAAGCCACAGTTTAGTACAAGGAAGAGAGATGTAGGGGTTATTGTTGGACCTGTCATACGATGGACATTGTGGTTAAAGTCATGTCTGCACAGACGTCCATGAGCTGTTTTTTTTCTCACCTGTACAACAGTGGAAAAGTTCTGAACAGATTGACTTTCGTTTGAAATTTTTGGAGTTTTACCAAAACGAAACAGCCAAGTCTCTTCGTATCATGCTGTTAAAAATCGATTTTATTTTTCACTTGCTGAGTGCACCTGAATTTCAGTTAAAAGTATGTTGGTGATTTGCTATTTTTACGATATCATTTAAAAAAATTGCCATAATCAGTTATATCAAATTATCTGAACTGAATTCTAAGATGTTCAAATTAAAATTAAATTTTCAAAACCGTATGGTATATACTTCAGTCATTTAACCATGCATAAAGATCGCAGAGTACAAAAAAAACATTTCACTTTATTGTAAATAGCAGATGGAATGGAACCTATGATGAGATTGATTAATGTAGTGGATGATGAACATGTTTCGGGAAGTCCCAGATAAAGATTATCCTGTTAGTTGTTGATAGCAGAGGGGACAGAACCTATGAGATTGATTGATTAACGTAATGGATCATGAATACATGTCTCAGAATTACTAGATAAAAATATTCCAGTTAGATGTTGATAGCAGATGGCATGGAGAACCTGTGAGATTGTTAGAATTTTTATGTTTTCCATGTGTTTATGGTGAATATTTGATTGATTGGAATCATATGTATATTTGGCTGGTTTTTCTGTATTTTGTATATTATGGTGAATATTGGAGTAATTGGAATGATATGTTATAATTTCAGGAGTTGGACCAGGAACCGCTGCCTGATGATTGGTATCTTGTAGAGAGTAATGGACACAGAAGTCGTATACCAAGAACAATGTTATTCATGGGAAGAGAACATTGTGACGTACAAGTCAAGGTAAGTTATTCAGATTTATGCGTTATTGGGAAAGGTTTGCAATAAAATGAAACTATGCTACAACTACCTACAACAACATTTAATTTGCCTTACATTTTATACCAAATTAACCGATCATCTGCTTGGGTGGGGGGGGGGGGGCGATTCTTTGGTCTGTTACAACTGCAATTTTGTCAGTTTTCTCCTGTTTTAGAACACTGTTTGCTACCAAAAATTTGAAGTAAAAATGAGGTTGAAAGTCTTGTATTGATGTACGGTACATGTAATTGTGTTGATTGTAGTGTGTAGGTTAAAATTATAAACAATATTCCACAATGTTGAAGCATGATCAAATCGCTTTTGAAAATAGTTATGAGATAGACCCTGATCGATATTCAGATAGCATGTTGCACAATCACCCCCATGTCTTTGGTGTGATTGTTCATTAGTGGATAAAAAAGAACCATCATGTTCATCCTGACACTATCGAGGATACAAATTCCATAAGTTTCAAGACCGGAATCGGTAGCCTTGTGAACTGAAGGGTATTGCCTGCGTGAGAGTCATTCAATTTCTGAGAAAATAATTTGTTTTACGTTTTTCTTCCTTTGCTTCAAATTCCTACCGAACTTGCATTTGCATCTTTGGGGCGTTTTTTTTATACTACGAAGAACCAAGGAGCAGTGTTTGATTATTGTGGGAGAGGTATTGGCTAAGTGAGAAAGACTTTGGCTTGTTAACCTTGAGGTCCCATGGTCTATAACAGTGTTGTTCAAGAAAGTTTTATCAGGTTTTTCTGGCATGGTTTCCTCTTGTCAATGATGCAGGACAGAGGGCCCGGCAAGGGACAACGTACAGTCGTTCGGATGAGACGAGAAACTGAGGTTTTGTGTACACATTGACATGCACATAAGAGAATCCTTGTAATAAGAATAGGCCGTAGCACTGCTGTCCAGGCAAAATTCCTCTCATGGCACACTGTATGGCATATGCCCGTCTTCATAAGCCGAGTCTGAGTAGAGCAATAAGACTTGTTAAACACCATTTTATTCGATTATTGCATGAGTTAGATGTTTTATAGTCAGTTTCTGATACAAATTCAATATATATATCCATTTTCTTAAAATCATCAACTCAGACAATAATAAAAGAATGAACTTGGGATGTATTGGTACATACATGTACATGTATGGTTGTTAATGTTGTACCAAGGATGTCAAAGAACTTAATAAATAGTGGTTATTTCCCTTTACTGCTACCTGTGATATAATGTAGAATGACCTAGAGGTATATTATACTATCTATAGAAACCTGTTTAACTTGACAGGTAGCTTATAGATATACAGATAGTCCTAGTATAATAGCTAGATCTACATGTTCGTTTGTTTACACAGTTAGGTCTTTTATATGCTTGACTTGAGATGTCCCCCCTTTAACAATACTTCATGATGCTTACTAGAGGGGACAACCCATGTCATTAAATAGACTGTATTCATTATTAATCGTGACTCCGGTTTAAAAGGATATAGTAAGACGTTTTAAAGGTATTGGAGGTTTGATTATTTCTACATATTTATTGATATATTTTGTTTTTTAAGACAGGCTTCTCCAGCTGTTACTGACATGTTATAGAATTGTATATATATTTAGTCTATTTGGTTGTATGTTTGCCGAAAATATCAACCAAATCTTCTTTAATATGGGAGGGGCATCAACATTTTTTTTTTTACAGTAACCTAGAATATCTGAAATATGATTAGGTAATAGGCTAGGCTTATGTGAAACCCCTTTTCCTAAAAGTATCTTAAATGAGAGAACCTGATGGGCTATGAATTCAGTCATAATTTCTGATCAGGTCCAGACAGTTATTAACAAATGGAAGGGACATCAACAATTTTTCAGTAGCCTAGAATATCTGAAATACAATTGGGAAATAGGCTAGGTTTATGTGAAACCCCTTTTCCTAAAAGTATCTTGGATGAGAGAACTTGCTGGACTATCAAGTTAGTCATAATTTCTGATCAGGTCCAGACAGTTTAACAAATGGGAGGGACATCAACAATTTCTTTTGTTGAGTAGCGTAGAATATCTGAAATATGATTGGGAAATAGACTAGGCTTATGGGAAACCCCTCTTCCTGAAAGTAAGATTAGAGAACTTGCTGGGCTATCTACTCAGTCATAATTTCCAATCAGGTCCATACAATGAAATTGAAATGAACCATCTCTGACATATTTTCATGCCATGGTGGAATATTAGTACAAGATTAATATTTTTCATCTCTTCCCCCAACCATTTAATGTTTCTGTTATATATTTTGTATTGTGTATTCTGTCAGTATTTTTTTGTGCAGTTATTGTATACGACAATAAATACATCTCAAATCTGTGAATTTCATGCATCGTCAGATTAAAATGCCCAATGTAACAATTAAATATTAATTAAATTTGATGACGATTCCTTCCATTGGTAGTTGAATAATTCCAGCAAGATTTTTGAAAAAGAAAATCTGAGCTAAAGAGTTTCCAATGGCACCTTGCAAGGAAGTCAGTTCATCCTGTCTATAGTCTTGTATTCAAGTAAATTTAATGCAAACTAATTTAATGTATGAAAAATGTGCATATATATATAGAAATATAGAAATGTTGATTCCAGAAAGGTTCATGTTGTAGGGTACACTCCAAACCGGCCAAACAATTTGCTAGATATATACAATGTTTGTTAAGTTTCAAATGGATCTGAGCATATCCATAAGTATGTTGTCTATGTTGATGTTGTGGATAAAGGTTTTAAAAAAAATGCATTAAGAAGAATGAGAAGGGATGATTGGATTACATGTGATGCGTGTATCTAGGTCCAGTGTTTGTTAGTAATCAATATGATTCTGTGTAAACTGATACGATCCTCTTATATATCTCACTAACCACTGATTGATTTTTATACTCGATACCTTATTGTTGAGTGACCTTCGATGTATGACCCCTAAGTGTAAACAGATCATCAAGACCAAGTAAGAATTTAGCCAGACTAATACTGATAGAGAGTTTTCTGGGAGGGCTATTTGTGTATGATTTGATAAAAGTTTCTGTTTCTGATATAATTGATATTAAAGGGTTTGTAACAGTATTTAGTAAAGTTATGTCAATTCAAATTTTTGAAATCAATTTATGAGTTTTGGTATTTTCCAGTATGTTTGAATTTATCTTTGATATCATGTCGGTGGAAGGGTTTTTCTTGACAGTAGAAGGGATTAAGACTAAGGACTGGGTATTCTTTGCTTTATAGGTTCTACCTACTTCTAGGCAAATCACTAAATAATCAATGAACATTGAATAGTTTGATGAAATTTTCTTGTACATGTATCAACATTCTTATGAAATGAAATGAAATGGGGTTTAACGTCCTGCTTTTCTGCACCGTGTGGACATTCTTTTGACAGACAGGGAAAGGTGTTCATTGCATTTAATGACCACAGCTTTGTCTATTTTCAACTAATTCAGTTTAATAGGCCCTCCAACATGGTGAATTCCATAAGCGCATGAAGCTATAAGCTATCCTGCTTGTCTTAATATTATATAGTGTGTGTTCAGAATTTGTTTCTAAAAAGATCTTGTGAATGAAAATATTCCATTGATTAATCAAAATTAAGTAATGGTTTTGGTTTCACAGAAGTTACTGAAGAGAACCTGTGGGTATGTACACCAAGACAAAAATTTGAGTTACATAATAACCATTTATTTTGATTTTGCAAAATGTTCAAACTATTAACAGATCCACACAAGTTGTCATTGTTGATATGTAAATGTGTTGATATTGTTGATACATGTATGTAAATGTATAGACAACAGGAAAAATCACAAAATCTTGTGTAAACATATGTATAATTGACTAGTCTACTTTATTTATACAGAAAAATTTTCAATGTTTACTTTTGGCAAGGGATTGTGGTCATCATTAACTGGTGTGATTATAGTCGGCAGACGGTCAAAGTACCAACAGGAAATAGTGGGTGTAATACTGTTTAAGACACGGAAAGATGTGTTAACACAGCCACAAGGACTTGTTTTATCTCAGGTGATAGTTTGATTCTCACATACTTGCTTTAGTTTCTGAGGTCAACGTGAAATGACAAACGAGAGAAAATTGTGCTTGATAATCGTTTCTCTGGTTTTTGTTGATAACATTTATCGTAAGCCCTTGAATTTTTTATGAGTTGTGGAAGGAAAAACATTTGGATGTTGACACAATAGAATTGCCATCTATGTTGCTTTGTCACGATTCACTCTATCAACATGTTTGATGTATTGAAAGACTAATAAAATTTTAGAAAATTCACATCCTCTGGTGAAAAATTTGGATCCAAGGTCTAGCTGTGAACGCAGGTTTGATTAGGATATCAGAATGTTGATTAGGGGTTATGGGATTGTTCATTATGTTTCCCTTAAATCTGGACAGAATGGTTTTATTATAGTCTTACAAACTAGTCTGGTGGATTGGAAATTCAGATGGGACAATAATTAAAATTAAATGGAGATTTTGGGTGGCCGAATAGACAAAGGCCTGTTATCTATGCTGGTCATGGGTTCGAACCAGTGATGGGATTTTGCCCGTATATTCCGGACTTGTCCGAATCTTTTTTCCAAACGCCCAAAATTGTCCGACCGGGAATATGCCCAATCGGACATCAAGACATGGTGAATAATATTCAAAATTCCGAAATTAAGATAGTTTACTGAGTGTATAACTACCACTCAACCCGATTATCGTCGATAATACGCTGGGTTTATTAGGTAATTAAGTGATTAACGTATTTATCGTGTTATACCGTCTAAACCTACCTTGATTAACTACTTAATCTGCCTTGATTGACTGACTTAATCCTTTGTCGGACAATTCATCAATCTAATCTTAAACAAGTCATTGCTTTCCTTTTGTCGGACTATTCATCAATTCAATAAGAATGATTATAATTTTAGTCCACCGTTTACCGCGTGGTTTCTCAATTGTCGGGCATCTTAATC